GTCGTCGTCCACCCCTCCCCCCCCCCCCCGGTAACCCACCCCCATCCCCTCCCGTGGGAAAATGCCGGGGCCAATAACCTTGGCTGAGTTGGGGAGGGGGATGGGCTTCCCACGTGGGGCCTGTGCCTGGGCCCGATCCTGAACTGGCAGCAGGAGGCGGGACTAGCCTCACTGACACCCCATCCCCGTGCAGGGGCAACGCTCCTGGTGGAGGAGGGGGACCTGGACTGACCCCACCATGCTGGGGCGGGGATGGCACAAGGAGACCAGCCCATCAGGCACCTGGTTTGCCAAGGGCAGAGTTTGGCCTGTGGCCTTAATCCCCTGCCCCTGGGGGATGGGGTGGGGCCTGGATGCCCCCACCCCCGTCCGTCTCCAGCTGTGCTCAAGTCTCCTGGCGCCATGCCATGCCTTGTGCCCTCGCTCCCTCCTGCTCCCCAAGGCTTGGGCTGATTGCCTGCATGCTCCAGCCCTCGCCTGGCCCCGCACAGCTCTGCTCTGACCCTTGCGGGCAGGGACCAGGTCCCTCAATGTCCCAGACTGCAACAGCCCATGGTCCAGCTGGAGCGGGGCAGGGGCCCTTAATAGTAGTCGCAGCTGCTTGCCCGGAGAGCTCACAACACTTCACAGGCAGGCAAGCGCCTCGAGCCCCCACCCCCTGGTTACCCCACAACCATGGTGTGCAGATGGAGAAACTGAGGCACAGAGGCTAAGTAACTTACTGCAATGTCACTGAACCCCACACAGTGCCAGAGCTGGGACCAGAACCCCAGAGTCTGATTCCCAGCCCACCCCCCAGGCTGGGAATAGAATCCAGGTGTCCTGACGCCCAGCCCCTGCCCTAACACTAGATGTCGCTCCCTTGCTCTCTGCACGGCCTGTGGTCTCAGGGAGGCAGGGCACACGTACTGATGAACACAGCCATGTCAGCTGGCCCCGGCCCCCTGCCTGACTATGCAGAGACCTCCTGGGGCACAGGCCATGGCACCGACAGGCTCTGCGGGGCCATCAGAGCTTTTCATCTAGCAGGACAAATGAGCACGTCATGGTACCTCCCTCCCCACCCACCTCCCTCCTGATCCCCCCATCTCTGCCCCCCCCGACCTACCTCCCCACCCAGCGCCCTCCTGACCTACCCACCCACTCATCTACCTCCTGACCCATCTACCCATCTTCATCCCCACCCGTCTACCTCCCTCCTGACCTACCTCCCTACCCCAGCCCAGCACTGGAGCGTCAGGCCCTGGTACTGACAGCACCAGCTGTGTCACGTAGACCAGGCTGGCCTGATTCTCTGCCTCCCTCCTGCGCTCACACCCTGCCCCTCTTTATGGCTGTAACACTGGCAGGCTCTAGGGCAGAGGTGCTGTAGCCGCTTGCACCGGGGGTGGGAGGGTGTCTCATGGTCCATTTATTCTGGCCGAGATGGTCAGCAAGGCGGATACACCTCATGCCTGCCCAGCCACTCACGCCAAGCAGCCCTAACATGGTAACGTAGGATCCCTGGGGCCATCCGGTTCCCCCGCCCGCGTGCAAGACTTGCCCCAGGCCGCAGGGTGTCTGTGCTCAGCAGAGCGAGGGCCAGAAGCCCAGTCCAGTCCTGTGTCCAACCACTCGTCAAGCAGGGCCCCTTTGGTCACTGGTATCTGGGCTGTTGGGTCCCGGGCGCGGCCCCTGTGTGAAGAGCTGTTGGCGTCACCCTGGTGGTAGAACTGGACCGTCTCCTCCTCCTCCCGCCGGGCCCAGTGCCAGGAACGGGGCAGAGGGGGCAGCCTATTCCACAGCCCCGTGTGCCTGTGATGCAGGGCAGATGGTAGTGCTCAAAGCTCTGCCAGCCCCTGGCGCTCCCTGGACCCCTGCTCACTGCCCTGGGGAGCACAGCCCTGTCCAGCACCAGGCCTCCTTCCCCGGCTGCTCTTCTTGTTCCCCCTCCTTGTGTGGGGCTGCTGAGTGACTCCAAGGGCCGGAGAGCCCCCGGCTGAGGCTCAGCGGGCTCCAGGGGGATGGGGGTGGCTGGTTCAATTCGCTGCCTGCCGGATGGGCACAGCGCTGGGGCTGCTCTATGCAGAAAGGCTTTGCGGGAGTTGCTGTTGGTTAGGAGTGTGAACCCCCCCACCCTGCCCACACCCCACGGTCTGTGGCGAAAGCACTCGCTGCTCTAGCTGCGTCTCCACTGGAAGGCTCTGTGAGGAACTCGGCCCTTTCCGGTGCAGACCAGGCCTTAGTGTCTCTGGGCCTTAGGCTAGCAGCACTGCCCAGGGCCGGAGTGTTAGGCATGGGGAGGTGCCTGGATCCAGGGTGCGGGAGCCAGAGAAACTCCCCAGAGAGAGATTAACATAAGAACATAAGAACATAAGAAAGGTCATACCGGGTCTGACCAAAGGTCCATCTAGCCCAGTATCCTGTCTACCGACAGTGGCCAATGCCAGGTGCCCCAGAGGGAGTGAATCTAACAGGCAATGATCAAGTGATCTCTCTCCTGCCATCCATCTCCATCCTCTGACAGACAGAGGCTAGGGACACCATTCCTTACCCGTCCTGGCTAATAGCCATTAATGGACTTAACCACCATGAATTTATCCAGTTCTCTTTTAAACGCTGTTATAGTCCTAGCCTTCACAATCTCCTCAGGCAAGGAGTTCCACAAGTTGACTGTGCGCTGCGTGAAGAAGAACTTCCTTGTATTTGTTTTAAACCTGCTGCCTATTAATTTCATTTGATGGCCCCTAGTTCTTGTATTATGGGAATAAGTAAATAACTTTTCCTTATCCACTTTCTCCACATCACTCATGATTTTATATACCTCTATCATATCCCCCCTTAGTCTCCTCTTGTCCAAGCTGAAGAGTCCTAGCCTCTTTAATCTCTCCTCGTATGGGACCCGTTCCAAACCCCTAATCATTTTAGTTGCCCTTTTCTGAACCTTTTCTAGTGCCAGTATATCTTTTTTTAGATGAGGAGACCACATCTGTATGCAGTATTCGAGATGTGGGCGTACCATCAATTTATATAAGGGCAATAATATATTCTCAGTCTTATTCTTTATCCCCTTTTTAATGATTCCTAACATCCTGTTTGCTTTTTTGACCGCCTCTGCACACTGCGTGGACGTCTTCAGAGAACTATCCACGAGGACTCCAAGATCTTTTCCCTGACTTGTTGTAGCTAAATTAGCCCCCATCATATTGTATGTATAGCTGGGGTTATTTTTTCCAATGTGCATTACTTTACGTTTATCCACGTTAAATTTCATTTGCCAGTATCCTCTTCTCTTGTGAACGCGAACGAGGGGCTGGTGAACGGTCCCTGGGACACCTGCAGGGCAGGGCAGGTTCGGCAGCCCCATTCCCACCCCCCACCCCCCCAGCTTACCCTGTCAGCGCATCCTCCAGGCAACAGCCGCTCTGCCCTTTCTCCCCTGGGCAGGTCAGAATCAGCAGCCTTCTGGAGAGGGGGGAACTCCCACAACCCCCCAGGCCACCCACTCTCCTTCACCTCCTCCCCAGCCCCCAGGGAATGCTCTCTGCACAGAGGGGACTCCCGCCTGGAGACGTCCCTTCCCAATAAACACGGGCAGCTCGGCAGGAAGTTTCCCAGTTCTTATCATGAGAATGTCCCCAAACCACCCCCACACTGCCTGGCACCCGCCTTGCCCCAAATGTCCCTGTCTTATCAGGGCTGGAACTAACAGGGCCTCAGGACAGTGACAGCTGGGGACCTGGGGCCAGCAAACGCAAAGGGGGAAAGGCCTGGAGTGATTTCTGCAATCTCTTTAAATAGCCCCAGGGACTCCCCACTCCTGGCTGTTCCCTCACCCTCGGCTGCGCCCGCTGCAGACCCCGCTTGGGTCTCTGGGGCCTCTCCCACTCCCGGCTGTTCCCTCGCCCTCGGCTGGGCCCGCTAAGACCCCGCTCAAGTCCCCGGGGCCTCTCCCACTCCCGGCTGTTCCCTCGCCCTTGGTTGGGCCCGCTAAGACCCCGCTTAGGTCCCTGGGGCGCTTCCACTCCCGGCTGTTCCCTAGCCCTCAGCTGCGCCCACTGCAGACCCCGCTCGGGTCCCTGGGGCCTCTCCCACTCCCGGCTGTTCCCTCACCCTGGGCTGGGCTCGCTGCAGACCCCGCTCAGGTCCCCAGGGCCTCTCCCACTCCCAGCTGTTCCCTCGCCCTTGGCTGGGCTCACTGCAGACCCTGCTCAGGTCCCCAGGGCCTCTCCCACTCCCAGCTGTTCCCTCGCCCTTGGCTGAGCCCGCTGAGACCCCGCTCAGGTCCCTGGGGCGCTTCCGCTCCCGGCTGTTCCCTCACCCTCAGCTGCGCCCGCTAAGACCCCCTCGGGTTCCCGGGGCCTCTCCCACTCCCGGCTGTTCCCTCACCCTCGGCTGGGCCTGCTAAGACCCCGCTCAGGTCCCCGGGGCGCTTCTGCTCATGGGTGCTGGCACAAGGTTGCTGTGGCTGGGTTTCCCCAAATGCAGCATTTGAATCCCGGTTCAATTGCAAGGAACCTGCCCGCCCACGTCTCTGGTGTTGCGCTCGTTATTATTATTTGTGTGTAACATGGTGGGGCCCCCTCCGGACAGCACATTGTCGGCTGCTTTTCTGGGCCCGAAGGGTCGGCAGTCTCTGGCCATGCCCAGGAGTGCCCTCCCCCTACTGCCCCCCAGCCCTCTCTCCTCCTCGGAGAACACTCCGCCCAGTGGGCAGCAGCATGGACGCCGGAGCTCAGGCTGCTGCGGCTGCCTCTCTCGCTGGCCCCCCATCCCTCCCCAGAGGCCCCTAATCCATCTCTCACAGCGGGAGGCGCTAAGCCGCCTTTTCAATTCCTTTCCTCAGCATGCCGAGCTCTCGGCGCTTTCAATGCCGGCCCTGGCAGGAGACGTGTCAGACAAGCTGGAGGGATCCCTCCCCTGCCAGGAAGGTCAAGGTGTGCTTAAGCCAGCTTCCCTCTCACACAAACCCTGGGCCCCCGGGGAGGGCAGCACAGGCGCCAGCCCCTTCTGGCTGGAGACTCACCCCAGCATGGAAGGACAAACAACCGGCAGTCAGAGAAAGCTGGTTTGTTCCCCCGAGGACCTGCTTTCTGGACAGGCTGGAGAGAATCCAGCCACGCTGGTGACGATGCCCATGCCATGCTCTGAGCTGCCCCCCGCTTCTGCACAGCCAGCCGCCCAGAGCACCGAGCTTCAGCCGGGAGTGCCATCCCTCAGGGAGGGGATCTGCTGAGCCCCCTCCCCACCTGTGCTGTGGACAAGGCCCCTCTAGCGGAGGGGCGTGCGGGGAAAAGCACTGGAGAGGCAGCCCTGGCTGGGAGCGGGCATGGGAGGGGTTACTTCTAATATAAGGGATGGGCCGGACATGAACACACCCTGGCGCAGAGCAGCCCTGAACTGGGGATGATCCGGATCTCGCAGAGGGCGAAGGGGTGTGAGAAGGTGGGAGCCCCTGCCTGGCCTGGACAGCAGCGAAAGGGCTGGACACTTAGTGCTGTAGACAGGCCTTGGGGCACAGTGAGGGGAGGATCATGCAGAGCTTTGTTTATGTGTAGGACCAGGGCCGGCTCCAGCTTTTCTGCCGCCCCAAGTGACAAAAAAAAAAAGCTAAATCGCTCCGCTTCTTCGGCGGCAGTTCGGCGGCGGGTCCTCCCCTCTTCCTCTTTGGCAGCAAATCGGCGGCAGCTCAAAGAGGAAGAGAGGGAATGAGGGACCCGCCGCCGAAGACCCGGATGTGCCGCCCCGATACCGGACGGAGTGCTGCCCCAAGCACCTGCTTGCTACGCTGGTGCCTGGAGCCGGCCCTGTGTAGGACGTAGAGTAATGGCTGTGTTCTGTTTTCTTTGTAACAGTTCTGAGTCGGGAGCAGCTGCACTACGCTGGGATTGGAAGGAGTAAGGGCACTTCGCAGCTATGAATCCAGGAGCCACGCACCATCCCTGGGACTGGGTGCCCAGAGTCTACTCCGCATCATTTAGCAACCCCTGGCATCACCGTGACCGCTCGGTGTCCGTCCCAGCCCACTGAAGTGCTGGAAGGACTGGCTATGCTCCGGGGATTACGGACGTTTTAATCCTCCTCTCAGCCCCCACACAGCCACCCCCATCGTCCCACCAGGGCCTCTCTATGGAGACTGAGAGACCCAGCTCCAGCTTGGCCAGAGAAGTTACACAAGCCACCCCCGGAGCAGCGCTCGGAGCCAGTGTGTAGTGCTGAGGGCAGATTTGGAGGGTAATTAACTTCAGAACAATTTACCCAGGGCTGGCTGGACTCTCCATCGCTTGGGGTCCTTAACTCCAGGCTGGCTTGGCTCTCGCTCTCGTTCTCTCTCTCCCCAAAAGGACCGAGCTCACTAGAAGCTTGGGCCAGATGCAGGAATCCCCGGAGGAGGATCTCTGGCCTGTGTGCCACAGGGGGTCAGTCTGGAGGAGCAGAATGGGCCCATTCTATGGCTGTAACAGATGAGTCTCTGAGGAACCTTCTGTTTACTATTCGTTTCGACTTCAGCTTGATACAAACTCCATCCTGATGGGCTCCTCCCATGCAACGCTCGGGGCACCCGGACATTCAAAATGCAGCTTCGTTTTGATGCGATTCGATGAGTCGTCATCGGCAGGACACGCTCGGCCACTGGGCGCAGGGGCTGAATGAGCGCTGCCCTGACAGCTGGTGATGGGTAGGGAGAAGACGGCAGGAACTGACCTTTCCATGGACACACCCACCTTGCCTAGGTGTGCAGCACCATGGAGCTGCGGGTGTTGGACTGCAAGTCTCTGTGTTAGCGGGGGGGCCGAAGCCTAGTGGAGCTGAGAGACCTCGAGACATTGCAGAGGTTGCAGTGGAGCGAGCCGCTGATGGTGAGTGAGCGGGTGGCGGAGTGGCGGGCGAGTGGCGGGCGGCAGAGCCAGTGGCTGACCGGCGGGGCGAGCGGCTGACTGGTGGAGTGAGCAAGGGACCTTCCTGCCCCCCCGCCCCCAGGGGAGAGGTGAACTCACAGGAATGCACCTCTGAACTCTGGGGCTTCACTGAGTAAGTGGGGTGTGGGGGCCGTTGAAGGACCTTGTGTTGGTTGGATGTTCTCACCACAAGGCGAGACCCTGAGGCAAAGGACACCGCTGCGTTACTTTCCCCTGTGCAGCTGGGGCCCTGCAGGCCTCGAGCACGTTCTATGCTCTGAGCCACCGGCAGCACTAGCTGCTCCTTGCGGTCACCTGAAGGGCAAACGCAGCTTCTCTCACCCTCCATCTGCCAGGCGCCATAGGAGCTTGGGGAATGTGGTTCCTCCATGGGGAGCCCTCGCCTTCCTGGGCCTACCCGGAGTCCCCTGCCTGGCACCAAGCACTCGCCTCTCTCCAGAGTTCCTCGCTCACGCTGACCTTGCTGACAGCGGCTGCATCTGCCAGGAGGGTGCGTGAGCTCAGTGCCTGACTGGCCTCGTGCTCTGCTCCGCAAGGACCAGGTCCTCAGGGGGCCCCATCGCAGTGTCCTGCCTGTGCTGCTTTCCGCTTTCCACTTCTCTCCAGTGGCGTCCCTGCCCTGTGTCCTTTGACAGGCCCTTTCCCACCCAGGCGAACTCGTCTCTATGCCCCAGATGGAGCGAGGCCACTCTGCTTCGGCCTAGGAAAGACCAAGCCCTTAGGAAGCCACTAGGTTCTTTGGAGCATATGGGCAGAGATGCCAGGGGATCCGTTACCAGCACCATGGACTTGGAAATGTTTAGAACATTGTTACATCTTGGCTGGGCAGCCAGGACCCCTTGGTTCAAAGACCCACCCCCCACGGGCCCCACGACTTCTGTGGCAGGCCTCACACAGTGCCCCCGGTGGAGACAAGCAATGCGGAGCTAGGGGCCCCTTCGCCAGAGGCTGCGTGGATTTAGCATCTCGCTGCCGCCCATGGCCCTTCGGGAGGGAGGTGCTCCAGGCCACACTTAGCCAACAGCTCCTTGTCCGCCGGTGTCGCTGATCTCCTGCCTGCGGGACAGAGAGGCTCTGAAAGGAGAAAGAGAAGCCGCTCCCCAGAACTGTTGGTCTTCCAGTTGTGTCTGTGCAGTCCCCCTCCCCGGGTGCCTTCCCTTCTACCTTGGAGCGCTCTGAGCCACCGGGACCCGGAGGCCTGGGGCCCGGTTGGGGGTGCCTCCCTTACACAGCGCAGGGCAACGATGTCACCCTCATGCGAGAGTGCCCCCCAGTGGCTTTTCCAGACAGTTCCACTGTGCGACATCAGGGACACTATGTCCCACAAGTGGGAATGCACCAAGCCGGCTCCCAGGCTGTGTGTACGGCAGAGCTCTGCCGGCAAACCCGCCTAGCGGAGACGCAGCTCTAGCGGGACCCCGGTGCAGCTTGTCCCCCCAGCAGGAGAAACTGTGCTGGCAGAAGCTGCGTCTGCTCCAGGGCTTTTGCTGTCACAGCCGGGTTGGCTGCGGGGATTTTCACACTCTACCACGCACAGGCAATGCTGGCAAAAGTCAAGTGGAAACCAGGCTTCAGCAAACATCGATTCCTGGTGAGGAGCCTCAACGGGGGGAGGGGAGGGGGTGTCCTTTTCTGAGGGCCCTCACACGCGTGCACACACACATTCAAACATCTCATCCACTCACACGCATCATGCGCACACACACACATATTCAAACATCTAATTCACCACACACACGCATCACGCACACACACACGCGCGTGCGCACCCCCCCCCCCCCGAGGTGTCCTTTCCAGAGGGTCTGCACCCCCCCCCATACATGCATCACACATGCACACATGCTCCACTCATACACACTTGAATCTTTCATACTCTCGCACACACACGCCCCCCCCCCAACCAGTTCCTGCACTCCCCACACCAGACTCCACCCCTCCCCCTGCACTCAGGGTTAGCCTGAGGATGGTACCGATGTCCCTTGGGGGCAGCAGTGGGGGAGGGGGTTCAGGAGCTGTTCCCTGTGGCTCTGGGTCGCCATGGGGGATGGGGGGAGAGCTGGCATCCATAGCAAGCCCGGCATGTCTCTTCATTTCCATAGCAATAAGCCCCATTCTCCTCCACACAGAGCAGCCAGGGCTTTTGTAATGGGTTTTAATTAAAGGCTCTTAAGTGTTAGACAAAGGCGAGGGGGGGGTGCCCTCCTCCCAGGGGCCTGCACCAGAAATGTGGGGAACCACCCAGCTCCCCATGCTCTTCCCTCCCTGGCCCAGTCCCACAGTCCATCCTCTATGCAGCCCTGGCAAAAGGCCCCTGCCCCAGGGTGGCGCAGCATGGGAGGCACCCACCCTCCAGGCTGCTCTGGGGAGCAGTGGGTAGGGGCAGCATTTGAGGTGCCCGTCTGGGTGTTCCTGGCCAACTCCCAGCATTGTGCCCCGGGACGGTCTGTGCCGAGGCTGGGACCCCAATGCACTGTGCCAAGGCGATTTGAGGTCTGCTGGTTCCCCCACAGCCCAGCCAGCAGCTCTGGTGAACCACAAACTCCAGCCCCAGTGGGGGTGGGCCTACAGGGGGGTCAGGAGAGAATCTGGGCCAGAACTGGAACTGGGATCCAAACCCCACAGAGTCCAAACCTGCACCCAGCTGGCGCTGGGCCCAAACCAGCCTCCCCACCCTGGGTTTAGGGGGCCAAGGTGCAAGCTCCAGGTGCCCCCTCCGTGCTGTGCCTTGCAACGTTGGCCTTTGGCATGCAGCCCGGGGGATGTTTGGATTTGGTTGGGCCCCTCTCCAGGCAGAGCAGAGGTCAGCAAGAATGGGGGCTGTCCTGGCCCCAGTGCAGGGTGTCAGTTCTTCCAGCCCAGGGTGTGGTGGCAGGCAGTGCTGCACATACATAACATTCTCTGAATTCCTTTGCATTTCCTGTCCTAACCGGATGTTGCTGTGTGCGGTTTGACAGCCGCTCCCTGCCACCCCAGAAGCAGCTTCATGTCAGTGAGTCTTGTCTCTCGGGGCGGGGATCTTCCAGATGAAAGGCCCCACAGGAACGGCAGGGGGGTCTCTGTCGTTTTCCCTTTGCTCACTGACATGCTGTCGGCATTGCGGCCAGCCCTCAAAGTGGGTGACATTCTTATTAACCCACCCCCAGGTGCTGGGGCTGCCAGAATCAAAGCTCTGTTCAAATCCCCGAGTCCCTGGTAACTCAGGGACCTTTGATCACAAAGGTGTTGCCTCCTCCTGACTTGGGGAGTCCCAGTGCAAATAGACATCTCTGCTTTTGCATCCTGGAGAGTTGGGGAGGGGATGTCTCTGCTTCGGGTGAGAGAGCGGCTGGCACCCTAACACGGACAGACACTCCCCTTGAAACTAACGATCTACTGCCTGCAAACTGGGAGATCTGCGTTCTAGTCACTGCCCTGCTCTGTGCCTCAGTTTCCCCAGCTATGACCTAGGGCTGATGCTTGCTCACTACCAGAGTGTTAATGTCAGTAAAGTGCTCTCAGGCTGCTGGATGGAAGGTCCTGGGCATATGCAAAGACCCGTGATATGTGAACAGGGACAGAACAGGTGAGATCAGACACCTGGGAACACCTCCCTCTGCACTCAGTCCCATGCCCCTTTGCCCGCTTTCTCCTTTTCACCCCTCTCCCTGTCAGCAGAGTGCCCCCTTCGCCCTCCTCCCCTCCCCCCACACCAGGTTTTCATTGAAAGACGCTGAAAGTGAGGCAATTCTCCAACAACCCAGGTGCTCCGTTTCAGCCCCACTGAAGCCTGGCTCAGAGCAGCACCCACATTTCCAAGGGTTCTCTGAACCTCTGGGGCCTACAAGCTGGGGCAGCCCCCTGCCAAGCCGCATGTTAGGCCCTGCCTAGAAGACTGGGGGACCCGTGCCTGGGAGGATGTTAACTAAGACGTTGGGGAGCTCAGCACTGATTTGAAGGATGGGGGGGGGCACTGATTCTGCCCACTTCCTATTGCACCCAAACCTCTTCCCCACTTCCTACGTTAATTAGGGGCTTGCTGATGGGGCACCATCAGTGGGGAGCCAGTCCCCAGGCTCCAGCTGCAGGAAGAAGACAGCCCTGAGATTAGAGCGAGCCCAAGTCTGCAGGGTCTCTGCAACACCGTGGAGCTGCGAGAGGTGACCTGGCCGATGGAGACATCGTAGCAGATTTGGGGCATCTCCCTTGGTTGATAAGGGGTTGTCTTGTTCTCGCCTTTGATCCCGGGGTCAGGAGGCAGGAGCCGGCCTGTTTTCCTTCTTCAGCACGTGGGTCTCTGATAGCGTGACTCTGGGTGACACGGCTTCTCCACCACCTCTGGGGAGATACAAGCCCGGCCCCGGAGTGTTGCTGTGACACGAGGGGTCTTGCTAAAGAACCTGCTGGAGGGGAAATGGGAGGAGACGGGGGGCAGGGTTGAGCTCCTCCAGCCAGGCGGTTCAGATCCAGCCCCCTGAGCTGGGCTGGGGACGGTTTTACTAGCCTGAGACGCACACAATTCACAGACTGGCTTCGCAGGGCCACCAGCCCAAAGGGAGCGAGTGGCAGGTAGACACCCATCTGTTGCAGCTGCCCACGGCACTGCGTACACAGCTCCTGGGGGGTGGAAGCTGCTGATGGAGCCACAGCCCTTTGAAGGGGCAGCCCGGGGTGGGGAGACTCCAGGAGGGGATTGCGTTGGGAGCAACATGCCCTACACACCACGCCCCGACACTGCTCCGAACAAAGCGCAGAGCCACAGCACTGCCATGCCCCAGGCCAAGCATCGGGTGTAGTTCCTACTCCTTCCCCCACCCCGCCTGCCTTGTCTGCGCAGACTGCGCGCTCAGTCGGGGGGTGCAGCACCCAGCCCAACGGGGCCCTGATCCCAGCTGGCCCTGTGCACGGCCCTAGGAAATGCAGCCACCTCTGGGAGTTCGACACAGCTTTCCGTGGGACAGTGGAAGGAGGGGAAATTTTGGCCAAGGACACTCCTGCTCTTCCAGAGCCCTGCAGCGGGATGGCGTGAGCGTGTTCAGTGTAAATTGTTGAGGGTGGGATTGGGTGGGGGGAAAGCCCAGCCTGCGGGAATTGGCGGGAAAACACGAAACCTCGCCTCAGTTTGTCCCCAATAGAATTTCAGCAACATAAAGCGAGTTTGTCTCTTTTTTTTTAGATAAAGGTTTAAATACGTATATTTAAGCAAGGGATCGAAAGAGATTTGCTGTCTATTGTAACAGGAGTTCAAGTATATTTTTACATGGTTTAAGCAAGATTTGTTTTATTCTTTTAGTGGTAAAAATTGGGTCTGAATTCTGTTTCTATATAGAATACATTAACTGGCCATTTGGGGTTGGGGGGCTTTTTGGTTAGCATGGGGGAATCTGTCTCTCATGCAGGATTTGCGGGAGGGCGTGGGAGTCGGTATTGCAGGGGGGCGGGAGAGGGATTAAAAAAAATAGTCCCCCACAGGGCTCTACTTCTAATGTCCACACAGGAACACAAGAATGGCCAAACTAGATCAGACCTGAGGTCCTCCCAGTCCAGGATCCCGCCTCTGACAGTGGCCAGCACTAGATACTTCAGAGGAAGGTGCAAGAACCCAAATTAGGCATTTGTGGGGTAACAAGCACCACACAATAGGTGATCCTGGTTTTAAGAGATCGGTTCAATCCATGAAGCAGGAGGTCTAATATCCCTTCCAACATGGATATTCTTGTATTAATAGAAATGCCCGGTCCCTTTTCGTATCTTGCTATGTTCTTGACCTTAGTGACTTCCTGTGGCAGTGAGTTCCACAGGCTAATTACACTATGCATGAACGAATATTTCCTTTTGTTGGCTTTGAATGCCTCATCTTTTAATGTCATTGAATGTCCCTTTGTTCTTGTGCTCTGAGAAGGGGGAACGGAGGCTCCCAATCTCCCTCCTCTAGACCAGTCATTATTTATAGAATTTTATCATGTCCCCTCGTATTCTTCTCATTTCTAAGGTAACAATCTCTGCAGAGGAGAGCTTTCCCAGGCCGTTGCTGATTCTCATCGCCCATCTCTGAACCCCTCCAGTTCTGCAGTATCCTCTTGGAGAAGGGGTGACGAGACTGTGCCAGTGCTTACGGTAATGGCATTCAAACATTCTCTGGATTATTCTCCAGTCCATGCCTGATGCATCTTGTTTGCTTTTGTGCCCAGAGCTGCACATGGAGCATTAAATCCATTAATGGCTATTAGCCAGGATGGGTAAGGAATGGTGTCCCTAGCCTCTGTCTGTCAGAAGATGGAGATGGATGGCAGGAGAGAGATCACTTGATCATTACCTGTTAGGTTCACTTCCTCTGGGGCACCTGGTGCTGGCCACTGTTGGTAGACAGGATACTGGGCTAGATGCAGGACCAGCTCCAGGGTTTTTGCCGCCTCAAGCAGCGGAAAAAAAAAATTGCGATCGGCAGCACTCCGGCGGCAGCTCCACCGCGCCGCTTTCTTCTTCGGTGGGAATTCGGCGGCAGGTGCTTCCCTCCGAGAGGGACCCACCACCGAATTGCCGCCAAAAAGCCCGACGTGCCACCCCTTCCCCTTGGCTGCCCCAAGCACCTGCTTGCTGGGCTGGTGCCTGGAGCCAGCCCTGGATGGATGGACCTTTGGTCTGACCCAATACGGCCGTTCTTATGTTCTGAGCAGAGCTGCCTCCACGGGACCTATGTCCCCTCCCTGAGATGAAGCGGGCCCCCCGGAAGGCGTGTGAAGAGCATACCTACAAACATGGCTGTGGGTTACAAGGGCCAGGCTGAGGGGCCCACGTGCACAGACCTGGGTCCATCTACTACGCAGGGTGAGTGCGCCCTGCAGAGGGCCAGACAGGGAGCTGGGCCATGGGAAAGCTGCTGCTAAGAGCTCTCCCCCAAGGAGAAACTTGGGTAGTAGGTGCCAGCGCCCATCCCGGCTGACTGGTGTGCGTCTGTGATGGGCTGGGCTCCATGGCCTATTCTGTCCTGGGTCGGGGGGCCATTGTCTCAGTAGCAGCGGTGGGTTTTCATGGCCTGGCCATTGGACTGAGACCCATTGTGTCCAGGCCCCAATGTAAAGGGCTGGCCTTCCAAGCCATTAATACCTTTATTAGTGTTATTATTTCCCGGGGCAATAGTGAGAGTAAGGGGCAGGGAGCTGGACTCCTGGGTTCTCTCTCCAGCTCTGGGAGGGGAGTGGGGTCTAGTGATTGGAGCAGGAGGCTGGAAGTCAGGACTCCTGGGTTCTATTCCTGGCTCAGGACATGGGGGTGTCTCATGGTTCTAGCCAGGGCCGGCTCCAGGCACCCGTGCAGCAAGCAGGTGCTTGGGGTGCCACGTCTGGCTCTTCGGCGGCGGGTCCCTTGGTCCCTCTTGGCGCAGTGGAGCTGCCCCTGAAGTACCGCCAATCGCAGCTCCCCCCCCAACCGGCCCTGGTTCTAGCAGACAGAGACAGGACTCCTGGTTCTGGATGGGGGGAGGGGCTAGAGCAAGGGGCCGGGTGGCCCAGAACTCCTGGGTTCTCATCTCAGCGCTAGTAGTGGTCTTGGGCCAGTCCCTCTGCCTCTCTGGAGCCCAGGAGCTCTTTTGGGGCAGTGAGGCCAGGTCCCTTGTTATCTGTCACTGAGAAGGACAAAGGGCTGTCATTTGAGCCCTCACCCCCGTGACATCAGCAGCAGGGGCAGCTCTAGCTTTTTTGCAGCGTCAGCGTACCCGCCACCGAATTGCTGCCGAATCCGCAGGACCAGTGGACCTCCTGGAGCATGCCACCAAAGCAGGGCCGGCTCTAGGCACCAGCAAAACAAGCTGGTGCTTGGGGCGGCACATTTTTAGGGGCGGCATGGCCGGCGCCAGAATGCGGCCCCTAAATGTGCCCCGGCCGCCCTAGCTCACCTCCGCTGCTGCTGCCACGGCGCGCGAAACAGCTGATTCGCGAGCCGCTACTCGCCCCCCCTCCCTCCCAGGCTCTCAAACCTGGGAGGGGGGGAGACTCCGAGTGGCCGCGGCACGGTGCCGCTTCTCCCCCTCCCTCCTAGGCTTGAGAGCCTCGGGGGAGGAGGCAGGGCTGGGGATTTGGGGAAGGGGTGGAGTTGAGGTGGGGCTGGGTAATTAAAGAACGGGGGGGCGGCCAAAATTGTTTTTGCTTTGGGCGGCAAAAATCCTAGAGGCGGCCCTGCACCAAAGGCAGCCTGACTGCTGCCCACACAGGGACCAGCAGGGCACCCCCCCCCACGGCACATGCTTGGAGTGCTGGTGCTGCCACTGATTGTCAGACCCCCCAGTCCTAGGGGCAGCCCCTCCTTCAGGGCAGGCATCATGGGATGCCCTGCTCGGTTCCCTCTCCCCTGCACCCAATCTTTAATTTTTTTATAATGGAGATATCCCATCTCCTAGAACTGGAAGGGACCTTGAAAGGTCATCAAGTCCAGCCCCCTGCCTTCACTAGCAGGACCAAGTACTGATTTTGTCCCAGATCCCTAAGTGGCCCCCTCAAGGATTGAACTCACAACCCTGGGTTTAGTAAGCCAATGCTCAAACCACTGAGCTATCCCTCAGAGCTGCCAGTGGAACTTGGATCTGTTGATCCTTCCCCCGTCCCCAAATCCCCCTGCTCCCCTCCCCCTCTCTGCCCCCGGCACAAGCCTGCCCCCAGGAAGTGGCCCTTTTGTTTGGAGCTGTTAAGTGAGTCCCTGGGGCAGGGAGCCAGGGGAGGGGAGCGCAAGCTCTGGGCGTTAATCCCCATGAGGTCTGTTTGTAGTTCAGATGCTTGTAATTCCAGAGCCAGCAGGCCCGCTCAGAGGGAGGGGCTGGGGGGAGGGTGCCTCCGGCTCTAAGGGGAAACCAGCTGAGCTGATGTGAATGTGCAAACACTGTTCTCCTGGATCCAGCCCCAGATGCCAAAGGGCCCCTCTGAAATCAGCCACCTGCAGCTCAGAAACCAGCCTGGCCTGGGAGGTGACCTGCTCCAATGGACCTGGCCTGGGAGGCTGGAAACTTGAGCTCTAGGCCCAGCTCTGCCACTGATCTGCCAGGTGACCCTGGGCAAGTCCCTTCCTGCCCTGGGCCTCTGCTGACCTTGCAGGGCCTGGCTCTCCCAACGTGCGGGTGCAGAGCCCAGTGCAATGGGGCCACAAGGTGCCCTGTAAATAGCTGGATGCTTGGCCTCCTCCCCCCCCATTGCTAGCACAGGCTGAACTCCAAGGGGGTAGCTCCCAAGCACCACCTGGCGCAGCCCTGCTCAGGGCAGGGTTATTCTTGTCGGGCCCAGAAGCCCCAGTCCTGGCCTGGACCCTGTCATTGTAGTGTCTGAGCCCCTCACAGTCTACAATCCCCCCTGCGCGGCTGGCAACTGAGCACAGGGAGCCTAAGGGCCTGGCCCATGGTCAGCCAGGCAGCCTGTGGCAGCAGGGGATTGCCCAGCTCGGACAAGTCCCAGGTTATCAGGCTAAGCACCGGCCTGTCCTTCCATCAAATGCAATGACTGTCCCTGCCCCAAAGCCGGGGTGCTGGGGAAATGACTGAGCCTCGTCTACACGCGGCCCGTCCCTCTGAGAACTTCGATCCTGGGTAAAACAAAGGGCTGGGGGCTGCCGCGATGGCTGGGGTCAATTCCCAGCGCTGCCCCAGACTCTGTGGGGACCCTTGGTCAAGGGGTCTTCTCCTGTCTGTGGCTCCACGCCCAAGCTGAGCTCCCAGGGCACATGGGGGAGCTGCCCCAGTGCTGTGGGCTGCATAGGAACCTGCCAGGCCATGAGCTCCTCAGGGCAGGGCCGATCTCCTTGGCCTGGCCCCCACAGACTGCACTGGGCTAACGAGGTGGGGCAGGGGACATTGTACTGAGCTAGTTACGCTGGTACAAACCTCACGTGCTGCAGCTGTACCAGGATCAAGGTGCCTTTGACCGGAATAATTTATTCTCCTTCCTAACAGGAACATCTGTACCAGAATAAGGTCCCTTTATGGGGATATAACTGCCTCTCCTCGGGGGGCATTGTGTCGCTTTCACTGGACCTGGGTAGTGCAAGCAGTGCAATTTTTGTCTGCAGACAAGGCCTTACTCTATGTGTGTGTGTAGCTCCCACCACAATGGGGTCCTGGTCTCAGCTGGGGTCTCTCCGTGCTACTGTGATATCAATGATAGAGTGATTCCTAGCTTCCAAGGCCAGAAGGGACCGTCATAATGAGCCCGCCTGATCTCCCGTCGAGCACAAGCCAGAGAGCCCCACCGAGTGGTTCCAGCATCTGACTCATGCACTAGCTCGGCCAGAAGGTACCTTTGAGACAGATGTTGTCGCCAGGTGACAGGGAACCTCCACATCCCTGGGTCAATTCTTCCGATGGTTGATTACCCTCCCTCCTAAAAAACTATACCTTATTTCCAGGCTGAACTTGCTTTCTAGCTTCAGCTTCCAGCTACTGGACCTTGTTCTCCTTTGTCTGCTCGACTGAAGAGCCCTCGGTTGTTAGAAATCTCTCTGTGTAGGTATCTAGCAACCGTGATCACTTGGAAAAACTCAACCGATTGAGCTTCTTTAGTCTCTCCTTTGTCCAGACCTCAGATGATTCGTGTAGCTCTTCTCTGAACACTTTCCAATTGGTGACGTTCTTTTTAAACGACAAACGTCAAAACGGGACAATTTCCAGTAATGGTCTCATCAGTGCTCAGTGTGGAAATGACTGAAGATCTCTCTCCGGATCCAGCAGGTCCCAGCGACAGGAGAAATGTATGGGACACACCTGTGGATGGCAGCTCGGCCCAACCTTTACAAAAATCAGTCTTGCCCACAAAGAGTTCTCCAGTCATCCAAAGAAGACATGTCCTGGTTGGGGATTCAATTCTCAGAAGAATCAAAAGGACATTCTGCAAGGAACAGGTGAGCAACAGAGCCAAGACGCAAGCCCTCACTCTAAAACTGGACAGGCTTCTGAAGTTAGACGATGATTATATCGACACTAATGATGCTCTGTGGCAGGATTTCTCGCCGGGAAAGAGGACTTCAGGGAACTCAAAAGCAGGCTGAAGAAGACGATTGTCCAGCTGATCTTCTCTGAGATCCTCCCTGTCCCATGAGATAAGGAAGACAAAAGGCAGAAGATTCTGGAAGTGAGTCACTGGCTAGGTAAGTGGTGGAGGTTTTTTTGTGGAACTTTGTTCCACCTTCTGTGGGGAGACCGACCCGTGTAGTTTGGATGGACTCCATCTCAGTAGACAGGGGAGTAGTCTCCTTGGGGACAGGTTGGCTAGAGTAGAGTAGAGGGGATTAGACTAATAGCAAAAGAGGGAAGATATGAGCACTCAGCACAAAATCGAGATGTTGAGAACAAAATTAATGGAGGACCCGAAGGACACGAGGAGAAGAAATTCTTGAGTTGCCCATACACCAATGCTAGGAGCCTGCGTAACAAACAAGAGGAATTGGAATTGCTCATTTATGAGCATAACTTCAATGTAGCTGGTATCACTGAAATCTGGTGGGATGAGTCTCATGAACGGAATGTTAATATCAGTGGTTCTATGCAGTGATGTTGTAGCCGGGTCGGTCCCAGGATATTAGAGAGACAAACTGGGGGAGGGAATGTCTTTTATTGGACCAACTTCTGTTGGTAAGTGAGACAAATACGCTGAGAGAACCTGTTTCAGTACAGAAATACCCCCAGCCCCGATCACACACCCCTAATTGTCACCTACCACCACACACTGGAACTCATATGGGGTATCATCAAACAATACTTAATGGGAACCCCATCCTGAAAGAAAACTTTCCTGAACCCCAGACCAGCCCCCAGCCCCAGGTTCACCTGCCCCAGGGCTGTTCCACCCCACCAGCGCCTGCCCCAGACCAGCCCCCAGCCCCAGGTTCACCCGCCTTCAAACAACTCCCCAACCTCTGCAAGCTCCCCACAGACCAGGACGCACCAACTCAAAGCAGCACCAGACCCGGCCAGAACAACAGATGAAAACCTGCAGCCATATCTCCACTGCTACAGTGATCAACAACCCCACCCCCCGTCCCCACCTTTCAAGATCCATGGATCCTACACAACAACATGTGCTGTACCTCATCCAGTGCACTGAATGCCCCAATGACAACTACGTGGGTGAAACCAGACAAGCAGGACACTCTGGAATGAACTCACACGGGAAAGTGATTAAAGATAAAAACACCTTGTCACCAGTGGGTGAACCCTTTTCACAAAGCGATCGCGCTGTGTGTCTGACTTATCAGCCCTCAGCCTCAAAGGAAACCTGCACAACACTTTCAAAAGACGAACCTGGGAGCTTCCATTCAAAACTCTGCTCGACACCACAAAACATGGACAGAACAGAGACAGTGGCTTTATGGCTTATTACAACAATCTGTAATCCACTAATCCACTGTTTGTCCTATGCCTGCAGAGGTGTTAATGGGCCACTCCACCTTGAATATGTGTTAACTCCTGGTCCACCCTGCATTTTGCTGTGATGCTTGGGCTAGGGCTACATCAGAAATGAAAGCGCTGGTGTGAACAGCCCTATGTCAAGGGAGAGCCGAGTGTCTCCACCACAAGCACTGCATCTGCATCACTTCTAGTGTAGACTAGCTCTACGTGTCTCCTGCAGCCCACAGATCACACCAGGGACCAGCATGACCAGCTCTTTATGCACCTATCTACAATGTGTAGGAAACAAACGCTGGGTGATGCTAGGGGACGGGACCTCAATCTGAGGGACTTTTTTGCATGCTGGAGGTCTCATGCTGCCAACACTAAAAGATCCTTGGAATTTCTAAACATTATAGATGACAATTTCCTAATGAAGTGTTGTATCCAACATGGGGGAATTCCATCTTAGCACTCATCTTGACAGGTGAAGTAAAATTGATCACAGGTGAAGTAAAAAATATTAATGGTAGCTAGGAACAAGTGATCATGACTTGCTCACATTTATAATAAATAAATGGAGATATCCCATCTCCTAGAACTGGAAGGGACCTTGAAAGGTCGAGTCCAGCCCCCGCCTTCACTAGCAGGACCAAGTACTGATTTTGCCCCAGATCCCTAAGTGGCCCCCTCAAGGATTCAAACTCACAACCCTGGGTTTAGCAGGCCAATGCTCAAACCACTAATGTGCAAACAGAATAAAGTACAGACTACTGATTGATACAGATATAGATAGATGGACTTTATTCTGTTTGCATGATAGATAGATAGATAGAGGAGGTGTCTGGGGATAGATAGATAGATAGATGTGGATGGGGATAGATAGATAGACAGACTTGAGTTCTTTAAAATGGCCAATTTCACAAAGCTGAAAACAATTTTAATCCAGATCAACTGGGAGGAAGGATTTAATCAGAAAAATGTGACTGATATTTGGGAATGTTTTAAGAACACTTTACTAGATGCCCCAAAAGCTACCCCACCCCACCCCCCATCATGCCAGGCCTTTATAAGTTCCCTCCCGAAGCAAACAGCCATCATGGAAATTTTAGCCTGAAATGTTGAACTTAAACATAATTATAAGCAACCAAAAATAGGCTCTAGGATGGGGTGGGCAAACTACGGCCCGCAGGCGGTTTTAAGCTGGCCCACGAGTTCCTGCTGGGGAGTGGGTTCTGGTGCTTGCCCTGCTCCGGTGCTCCAGCCAGGGCGCCGGGTTGGGGGGCCGCACTACATGACTCCCGGAAGCAGCCGCATGGCCCCACTCCGAGGGTTGGGGGCCGCTCCACGCATAGGAGCCGGAAAAGGGACATGCCACTGCTTCCAGGAGCCGTTTGAGGTAAGCACCGCTCGCAGCTAGGGTGACCAGACAGCACGTGTGAAAAATTGGGACAGGGTGGGGGGTAATAGGAGCCTATATAAAAGAAAAGCCCCAAATATCAGGACTGTCCCTATAAAATCGGGACATCTGGTTACCCTACTCGCAGCCTGCACCCCTGAACCTCTCCCCACTCCCCAACCCCCTGCCCCAGCCCTGATCCCCCTTCCGCCCTCCGAACCCCTCAGTCCCAGCCCAGAGCACCCTCCTACACCCCAAACCTCTCATCCCCAGCCCCACCCCAGATCCCGCACCCCCAACCAGAGCCCTCACCCCCTCCTGCACCCCAACCCCAATTTGTGAGCATTCATGGCCCACCAGACAATTTCTATTCCCCGAAGTGGCCCTCAGGCTAAAAAGTTTGCCCACCCCTGCTCTAGGAAGTGTTGGGCCACTTTATAGGCCACAGGCTCAGTCTATAATACTTACCATGGATAGAGCTGTTAATGGGAAGGCCTCAAAGCACATTATAGAGCTGGGTAGATGTCGTTTTACAGATGGGGAAACTGAGGCACAAAGAGGGCTGTGACTTGCCAAGGATCACACAGGGAGTCAGTGGCAGAACCAAAACTAGAACCCAGGAGTCCTGACTTGCAGTCCCTCCTGCTGAAGCCACTAGATACCACTGCTTCCCAGGCTATGACCCCTCCATGCTGCATTTGGCTGGGATTCCTAAGCAGTCCCCTGGTGCCAGTCTACGCAGTCTGGTTGTCACAGTTCTTTACTGCAGGTGTGTCATAGCGTCCTGCGGTGAGCCTGTGTTCAGGGGAGCATGACAACAGCTTCTGGGCCTGACTCAGCCACACAACATGATGGGGCCTGAGAATGCCACCGGGCAGAAAGAGAAGCAGCTGTTTATGCAGGGCCTAGATGAGCACAATTGCGCGATGCAATTGTACTCCCCTGGGACTCTACTGCAGCAGTGAGCTAATGCAAAATCTGTGCGGGGCTAGTGTGGTTAGAGCAGGGGATGGAGAGCCAGATCTCCTGGGTTCTCTCTCAGGAACTCACTGTGTGACCTTGGCTGTCACTCCCTCTCTCTGCGGTTTAGCTACCCTGTCTGTAAAATGGGCATGATGCAGGCATTCAGCTGGCAGGTGGGCAGTGCCCAGGGGTACAAGGCCAATTGTTTTCTGGAAAGTCACTGTTACATTATGTTGTGCCCAGAGCCTTTTCCAGCTGATAAATAATTCCCCCTCTAACTGCCCTTGGGTATTTATCTCTCTGTGTGCTTTATAAAACCGAGCACCCAGGAATTTCACTTGGAAGCTTGGAGTGGGGTGGGGGAATTTTCTGCCATATGGGACAGGAAAGCTGGGATGGGGTCCACCGCCAGCAGCCATGAAATAAGGCTCGGCCGCTCGCGGCTCTCGCCCGTTTCTTGTCCTGCAGCTCCAGCGTGCTGGATCCACACGCAGTGAACCTGCCGCCAATTGCTGGACTGACAACATCGCCACCACGCACGGTGTCACTTCATTGCCATTCCCTCTGGATCCCTGCAAGCCCCAGCTCCCCTCCCCCCCGCAAATCAGGCACCCCCCCAGTGCCCGGTGTGGCCTACCTGGCTGCTCAGGGTCCCCTTCTCTGGCCCAGCCACACTTTGCTTTTATGGAGAGGCTGGGGGAAAGGAACTGCCACAATTACATCACTGGAAACATTTCTGCAGCTCTGCTCCCCCCAATCCTGGCCAGGCTGTCCCCCTCACCCCCAGTGCTGTCCCTCCTCCGCCCACACCGGGGAACTACAGGCCAGTCAGCCGCACCTCAGTCCCTGGAAAAATCATGGAGCAGGCCCTCAAGGAATCAATTCTGAAGCACTTGGAGGAGAGGAAAGTGATCAGGAACAGTCAGCATGGATTCACCAAGGGCAAGTCATGCCTGACTAACCTGATTGCCTTCTATGAGGAGATAACTGGCTCTGTGGATGAAGGGAAAGCACTGGATGTGTTATTTCTTGACTTTAGCAAAGCTTTTTATATGGTCTCCCATAGTATTCTTGCCAGCAAGTTAAAGAAATATGGGCTGGATGAATGGACTATAAGGTGGATAGAAAGCTGGCTAGATCGTCGGGCTCAACGGGTAGTGATCAATGGCTCCATGTCTAGTTGGCAGCCGGTTTCAAGCGGAGTGCCCCAAGGGTCGGTCCTGAGGCCGGTTTTGTTCAATATCTTCATTAATGATCTGGAGGATGGCATGGACTGCAGTCTCAGCAAGTTTGCAGATGACACTAAACTGGGAGGAGTGGTAGATACACTGGAAGATAGGGATAGGATACAGAGGGACCTAGACAAATTAGAGGATTGGGCCAAAAGAAATCTAATGAAGTTCAGCAAGGACAAGTGCACAGTCCTGCACTTAGGACGGAAGAATCCCATGCACTGCTACAGGCTAGGGACCCAGTGGTGAGGCAGCAGTTCTGCAGAAAAGGACCTAGGGGTTACAGTGGACGAGAAGCTGGATATGAGTCAACAGTGTGCTCTTGTTGCCAAGAAGGCTAACGGCATTTTGGGCTGTATAAGTAGGGGCATTGCCAGCAGATCGAGGAACGTGATCATTCCCCTCTATTCGACATTGGTGAGGCCTCATCTGGAGTTCTGTGTCCAGTTTTGGGCCCCACACTACAAGAAGGATGTGGAAAAATTGGAAAGAGTCCAGAGGAGGGCAACAAAAATGGTTAGGGGGCTGGAGCACATGATTTATGAGGAGAGGCTGAGGGAACTGGTTTTTAAGGCCCAGCTTGACGAAGCCCTGGCGTGGATAATTTAGTTGGGAATTGGTCCTGCTTTGAGCAGGGGGTTGGACTAGATGACCTCCTGAAGTCTCTTCCAACCCTGATATTCTATGATTCTATAAGGGGCAGCAGAGAAAAGACAGCGTCAAATCCCTGTAAGAATAAGGGCCTAGCTGACCCAGTTCTGCCCCCAGTCGTCGTGGTTGTCCCCCGCACACACCCCTTGCTACTCAGCTAGGGTCAGTGGAGTTACCCAAGGAAGACTCCAGCAAGGAGCCAGCCTGGCCTCGTGGTTGGA